CTCCCCCCCAAAAAATTAGAGTCCACTTTCTTGACTGTGATTTAAGTCTGTAAGCCACTCACAAAGTAACAGATCTGTTTTTGCTGTTAGTGTACAAACTTGGTGGGTTTGTGTAATTAAGGCAATATATGTTTGAAGGCTTATTTATTCTTAGATCATTTTATTGTCTGTTCGTGTATTTGTTTCTGTAACTAGTGGCTTTGTTAATGAAGTTTGTTGCAAACACTGGTATGAATGCCTTAATAATAGACTGGCAAAATGTTGTTTAAAAAGCAAAAACAAACCAAAATGAATACAATACAGGGGAGTACTTTGTGAATTATTTGCCATAGAATAACAAAATAGCAAAAATAACTCCTTAAATCCTTTTTTTCAACACCTATTGAAGTAAAAAATGTATGTTTTCAAAATAACAATCATGCATTTAATGCAATTGTTTGCCATAGGAGGTCATAGACTTTTTCTTTTCTGGGATTTGTTTTCAGTGATTGATGTCAAGGATCCTAGTTATTTTTATCCTCTTAAATAATTATAAATTACTTTCAAGAACAAAAACCAAATTTAGATTCCTCAGAAAGGATGGGGTTTGTTACTGTGTGTAGGTGTTACAAGGGTTTAGCAAAGCACTTTTTTTAAAGCAGAAGTACGGCATATAGTTTCAAGCAAGGCATTTCAGTTCTTAATCCAAGAAAAGAAAATTTGCATGACAACATTAAGAGATGTTAGTTTCTCTTCTGAAAATTTGAAAAAATGTGCTTTTAACAAAACTTAAATGAAAAGGCTTAACATTTCTCCTAGCATTAGTTAAAAAACAGTCTTGACCATTGTTTCAGACTACTCTACAATTAACACTTCAGCTTTTCTTGTCTAGCAAGGGAGTCTGATGCACTAAATTTAATTGGGGATCAACCACTCAGCTTCTCTAAGTATTTCTAAAGACAGTTGTGTTTCCATGATCACAAACTGTGAAACTGAAAGAGGTCTGACTTCTGTGTCAACAGCTTTTAACACAGACCCTGATACCATTCTCTTAAGTAGGCTGCAGAAATGTAGGTTAGAATTATCATTATGTGGATATGGATATCTGATTGACTGAATAGTTACAAACAAACTGTAACCATAAATGGACCCATGTCACTGTCACATGGTGTCAAGTGGGGTTCTACAGGGATTTGTTCTGGAATCTGTTTAACGCCTTTATTAATGAGTGAGTTAGCTGTGCTAATCTGAAGTTAAGCAGAAAACAGGACCGGATAGGAACTGAGCTTGAGCCTGAAAAAGTAGGCTGTAGTCCATGACATCCTGTGCCTTTCACAAAGAGTTAGTCTATAACAGGGGTGGCCAATCTGGAGTATGTATGCCAAAAGTGACGTGTGACACATTGGGGAGGGGACAAGCAGCACAGTGGCAGATGGGGGAGGGAGCAGAAAGCAGAACATCAGATCAGGTAGGGGAAGGGGATCAGAGGGGCAGGGACAGTGTGGGAGCTCATTTGTGACATGCCTGCCACAAATTTGCCCTACCCCCCAATTCTTGTATAAGGTGCCACCCTGCCTTGCCTTCATCTTTATTTAATGACTGGAAGTAAGGATAGAGTGTGTAATTGATCAGATTTTCAGCTGATAACATGACAGGGATGTGTCAGATTTTGGAGGGTAGGGTGAAAATTTAGAAGGATCATAATGAATATGAAACAGGGCTACAGATGACAAACAGAATTCAATAAAGATGGATGCTGCAAACAAGTTAGAAAAAAACAAATGCACAGATGCACAATTGACTTGATTAGTCATACCAAGGGAGACCTAGGAGTTGTGGTGAATCACAAACTCAGAATGAGTCGGAATCAATTCTGCTTGGTTCTGATTAGGCCTCAGCTGCACTACTTTATCCAGTTTTAGTACTTCCATTTCAAGGAGAATTTAAGAGAAACTGGAGAGGATCTAGAGACAGGCTACAAAGATAGTAAAGAGGTGGAATGGAAGCTATATATGATAGGGTTGAAGAAACTAAGCATGTTTAGTCAGGAGGAAAGTAGCATAAGGTAAATAGCTTTCAAATATTTGAAAGCGTACAACAATGAAGAAGGGGAAAATATTCTCCCTTGCTACAAAGGGCAGGACACGAAGCAATGGGTTTAAACTATAGCAAAGCATATTTAAATCGTATCTCAGGAAAAACATTTTTAACTTGTCAAACAGTGGATCAGACGGATTAGGGAAATTATAAAGTCTTCTTCACTGGAGGATTTCAGGAGGAGGTTTGACAGGCAATCTATGCAGGATGGTTAGGAATAGCACATCCTGCATCTGTATAGAAAGTTGAACTAGACCATTGACTGGTCCAAACCTACAGTTCTATCACAGATTTATCTGTGACTCCATCACTGCATTTTTAGTTTCTTGCTACGCTTCCTTGAATAATAAGGAAGATGTGTAATATATGGCTGTATGTCGCTGTAGGATAACCTGCATTCTGGGGTGATTTTACCTGGGCCTCTTTGACTTTGAGGTAAAAGTCAATATCTATTCAGTGTCCCTAGGATGTCCAGGGAGAAAGGGTAACCTGGTGCCTGGACAGACAACATATTTACACTGGTATAAATGACCCTCGGGTCTAGAGAGACAGATAAGCAACTATTTTAAGATAGCAGCTCAGCATAGTTGTTACTACAGTATCTCAATCATGTGCCCAGGGAGAGGGTAATCTTCTGTTTGCAATGTGTGACTTACTTGCAGAAGATGGAAATGGGCTATCATATGGGTTATGTGATGTCTGCTCCTATTTATATTGGTTTAAATGTTTTGTTTTGGGTTTTTTTAATTTATTCCAAGCCTGATGATGTTGAACCGAATATATTGAGAGCTGTCTTGACTGGTATTTTAATTGGCAGTTCTCAGAAACTATATGTATCCAAGTCATATTGCATTATCCTGTTAGTTTTCAGACATTTTCAAAGAGCAGGTATAAGAACTCTGTTGTGGTTTTTCTACTTTTTGAGGTACTTAATACCCCTTTAAAGCCATTACAAAATATGTATATATAAAAATGGAATCCAAAATGATGCACCATATAAGAAATTGCTAAATGCTGTAGTCAGATGATGTCATTTGGATGATAATGCACAACCAGCAGAAGAGAAATTTTATATTCTGTTCTAGTAACCCTCTCATGATGCAGCCAGTCTTGAGAGGGCTCTGAAAGCAACACGTTATATCAGATGCAGATTTGTAGTGTTCATGATGCTTTGCAGAATCCTGGTGTACATCTGTAAGCAACTGTTCATGAGTTGATACTATTTACATGCCTGGAAACCCACTCTTGTCATCCTGTATTCCCACTGAAGTCATACAACCAACTAGAGTCTGGTGGCATTGAGACCTAAGCTGGATGTAGGATAGCAAGGAATGACCCTAAAAATGTGAAAAGGGTGAGAAAATCTGGAGGAGCATGAACATTACAAAAGTGAAAGTTTCTGTACTCTTGATGAATGCACCTTTTTATAATTAGAGCCTAGTTGAAATTGCAGGCCCAGTTCACTAGTATTGCAGCCCAATCATGGTGGGGGCCACCATTTTCATACCCGGATTGTGGCACCTTCCCCATAATTGGACCACAATACTAGTGATTGGAGAAGGAAGGCAGACTCACCTGTCAGACCGCAGCCTGACCAAACTTGCCCAGCATTGCGGCTGCTGTTACCTGCAGCCAACAAACTCATAATACCAGGCAAGTTTGGCCAGGCTGGGGCCCCCATGTGTGAGCAATGCCACCCACACTCTAGCTCTCCTTCCCCCTCACTACCCTTTGTTGGCTGCATGCACCACAGAGCCACTGTGATACTGGCTGAGGTCAACTAGGCTGGGCCCCCCCCGTGTGCCAGCCAAATGGGTGCGGGGAGCTAGAGTGCAGGTGCCACAGCTGGCACGTAGGGGGCTTCAACCTGGTTGAACTCGCCCGGCTTCACAGTGGCTGTGGCTCAGTGATGCCTGCAGCCAGCAAAGGGTTGTGAGGCAGTCAGGGGAGGCCAGAATGTGGGCAGCATTACTCTCACATTGCTCGCATTGCTGCCCCTTAGCCTCGCCTGCCACTGTCCCCACCCTGCCCCCAGCTCCACTCTGCTCTGCATGCAGTAGCCCCACTGGGGCAGCACGGAGCACTTCCCTCCCACTGCCCGCTTGACCCCTCCCTGGTGACTCACTACCACTGCTGGCGCTGACTGGGGCAGGCATGAGCAGGGACTGGGTGCTGCACAGAAGTGCAGGTGCCCCCACAGCTCCATCTTTTTGCAAGGTAATGCCACACAATATGGCCACTTGCTAGGGAACTCCTCAGCAAGCAGCCATATTATGGTATTTCCTTGCAAATTGCATTTTTCATGAAAATCACTAAATAGCATTTTTTGTGAAAATCATGAAATCTTTTGATTTAAACAAGACACTATTTGTAATGAATCTTATACTAAATCTATTAAATCATGTACTTTCCCTTTAAAACAATTGTAGGTTGAGGAAACAGGAGTGATCAAGTTAGACCAATACACATTAGTTTCCTGAGGAGGAACCTGAAAGTAGGAAAGTTGATTAGTGTTGTTTGTGACATCCAGGGAACATAACTTGCCCTTGTAGGAGAAAGGTGTAATGCCCAGTGAAATTCCTGGGCGTGCCTCAAGCCATGTTCATAGTTAGGCAAAACTAAAGCTGTACAGAGTTTTTAAAGTGAGGTAGAAGAAATAACTTTTTAAAAGATATATTTTAAATGCTTCTCATTCCGTTTATCTGCCTCATACTTTCCTCTTGTAAACAGCAGAATGCACTTCCAATGGAACTTGGGCCCATGAAGTAATGTGGAAGGTGGTAAACTCAGTATTTGTCTTGTATTCTAATTGAAGTTGTCACTGCACAAACACGGTGCTTTTGTTTTCTTATAAAGTAGCTATTATAACTTTTCATACAGACTGAAATTTGGTTCCAATTATATGCTCTTATTTATTTCCCCAGAATGCTGAAATTTCAGTTTTTGAAGTGAACATTCGTTTTGTTGGTGGACTGCTTTCAGCATACTACCTTTCTGGAGAAGAGGTAAGATAATTTATCCATATCATCTTTCTGAAATACTTACCCAGAATTAATGCAGATTTCTTTGCCCCTTCTCCATTTGTGTTTCTGTTAAATAATGCAGATTTCTTTGCCCCCAAGCACATGTAAAGATGCCCAAAGATTTTACTCCTTTTTCCTAGACTATTGTTTTGTATAAAAGTCACCAATGGAGAAGTGTACTAAGTTGTAAAACCATGCTCAATACATATCTAGGGGTTTTGTACTGAGGAACAGAAGTCTGAAGTTCTGATGCTGCTGGAAGTAGTTTGTTACAGAAAATGGCATAATCCTTGCAAGGAAATTTAACTTGTACTGATCTCCACTAATGTGAATTAAAGCTTCATCACAGCTAACTCCTAGTCTCAAAAAGGATAAAATTGCAACTGAGAAAGTAGGAAGAGAAGAAAATGTGACCGGGAGAATCGGAGGGAAGAATGTGTAACTGGTGGTACAGATTCAGGCAAAGACCACTAGAACCACCGTAGCTTGTTTTCTGATCATCTGAGTGTTAGAGTTGCTATGACATTTTGGAGGGCAGCCCTGAATTGAGGTCTAGTTTAAATGTAATGAGAGAATGAACATGTCCGGTGGTTTTGTGCTTTGTACTTCAAACTGATTCTCAGATGTGTATATCATACATAGGTAGTGGAAGCAGAGCTAACCCTTATCCTCTCATCTTGAACAGATGCTTTGTTTTGTTTCCTATAGCTAGCCTGGCTACATAGGGGAACTCAAAAGCAGTGCCCCTTTTGGCAACAGTTTCCTATGGGAAAATATAATGGCAGCTAAGTTACAAGCATCAAGGCACCTACTAGATATTTCTTTTTGACTTCCTTGTCATCCCCAGCAGCAAAGCTCTGATATCCAAGCTTCATTCAATTCTTTCTCTTATCCCTTCTCTTATTAGCAATGCTACCACCATGGAAGAGAGGATATGGCAAGTAGTTCTCCCAGAAAAGCATGGCATCACATTTTTTGGCTTGGCATTTTTGTAGTTCCCAAATCTTACTAATTTTTATTAATGTTTCACCTCAGTAGTATTAATTGACAGGGTTCATCTTTAACTTAACTATGAAAGGCCTACTGTAACCTTAAATAAAGCAACACTTTAAATTTAACAGTTGAAGACTAGGGCTAAGAGTAATTAAATTGAGAGTTGTACACACTTTTTAAACCTTAAAATATTATATATGAGAATTTTACAGTTTGGCCAAGAATACAAAATACTTTATCGTTAAGCTCTACTTCTGTGTAAAATGAAGAGCTTTCTTGACAACCAGAACCATTGAAACTAAGCATCAAGAAAAACTCTGTTTTGAATCGTTCAGTTTATATTGTTATCCTAAATTATTTTGTTCTTGTTATTAAGTATCTGAATATCCATCTCATTCCACAAAACTGTAGAAAATGTTAAAATATATGGTTGCTAGAGAAAACATTTTAGGGATTCTTGTTTGTTTATCATGTCTCTATCTCTTGATCATACCCCACCAAGCATTTCTCATGATATTCTCAGCAATAACTTATTTGCTTAAAGTTTCGTATGTTCAGACCCCCTACTAAATAGCATCACATGAAGCAGTTAACATTTGGACATAGGTTTGTTACAAATTCACAGAAAAGGTGACAGAAAATCCCATAATCGCACAGTTAGTCAGCTTTGTATCTCTTAACAAATGTTGTATTTTTAATAGAAATGTCTTACTGTGGCTTTTGAAGTCAGTGTTACCCAGTGATAATTCAGTGACCCTCAAATGAATACAGCATCTTTACAAAAGATGCTTCTATGATAAGACAGTTATACTCCTTTGATAACTTATTGTCCACTAAAGAACTGCAGAGAGCTTTTGTCCTTATTAGCTGTTAATTAAGCTGACATATAGAGAGCATTTCTTATTAGTTAGTGTCCAGTTGAGGGACATTGAGGTGCCTTAAATTAGGTTGTCATTGATTTGTCAAAAGATGTTTGACGAGGTGGTCTTTACTAGGATAGTAAACCATCAGAATATAAACACGCTTACCTTGTACATGTTAACACGCAACATCTCTTTCCATCAGGGACACACAAGCCTATTCTTTTACTAGCCTTTTTCTAAAAATCAAAGATTTACTGACAATTGAGAGGCCCAAGCTTACAGAATTCCTTCAGCTTTGTAGCAATAATCACATGGTATTTCTTGACCAAGTAGTTTTACAATTGGAAAGGCAGAGATTATAGGTTACTTGTATGTATTACAAAATCTAAATGGCTAAATAGTTAAAATTTTCCTTTTAGATGATTACTGGAAAAAAAATTCTCTTGGGTCATCCATTTCAATTCCAAGTGAAATGGTAGTTTATTCTTGTGTGTTGTCCTCAGATATTTTTATCTAGTCTAGATAATAGAGCTTGTGCCTTAGTCACCTCAAAATGGATTACAGAAGCTGGAATTACAACAAATATATACGTTGTCATGTATATGTGGCCCAGTAGTTTCAAAACATCAGTGCTTATTAAAAGCAGGGGGGGTTTTCCCCCTCTATTTGGAATGAACAGTTTTAGATTTGTTGGTTCCATTATTTATTCCAGAACATCAACAGTCTTGTTTTTCTTAAATACGAAATATATACAAAACGTAGTTTATGCTTTGCTATGTTTATAAACACATTTTTAAATCAAGTTAAATCTAGAAATTGTCTCGTAACATAAAAACAGAAAAAGCCTGGACACCTTTTTCTGCAGAAATAAGGGAGAAGGCAGGGCAGAGTGGTACCTTATGGACTAATTAAGACATGCATAAGCTTTCCTAAGCCATAGCTCAGTTCATCACATGCTATGAAAGGATTTGCAGGGAGCAGGTATTTAAATAGAAAGAGTGATTAGTAGGGATCTAGTGAAACCACAGTTTTGCGATTTTTTTTTTTTTTTGTAGAAACCACGACTTCAGACAGGCCCTGCAAAAAAGCATGGGATTCATGCTTTTGGTGGGCTCCCTGGGGGAAAAAAAACAAACCTCACCAAAAATCAAATGCTGGCTCCCTCTGGGGGCTGCTGGCATGGCAAGATGGCTGCTGCCCTGCTGCTCTCTCCTGATTTGGTTTCAAGGGCTGTCTATCATATGTCCTTGCTCCTTACCACCAATCAGCAGTGACAGGTGGGGGCCCATGATGGACAGCCCTTACAGCCAGTCAGCAGCAAGGGGCAGGGCCCCTCAGCCATTAAGAGGGGGCAGGGGGGCGGGCCTTGTGCTCTGCCTGCAAAAATGGCTGTCAGGCTCCTGGTCTGCCCGTGAAATTGCCCAGCAGCTGCCTCAACCTTAGTAGACCCCTAGTAATTAGATGTGGAGGATAGGAAATAGGTGAGGAAAAAAGAGGGAGGACTGCTGAGAGAGGCCGAAGGTGGGTTGAAGAGAAGAAGAAAGCAGTGAACCTGCTTTTTCTAGCTCATCACTTTTTTTCTGTTTGAACACCTGCTCCCTGAAAGTCCTTTTCTAGCATGCAAACAAGTAAGCTGTTGCTTATAAAACTTTATGCACTTCTGAATTATTTAACCTGAAAGGTGCATCTCTGCTCTGCCTTCAGATTAACATGGCTAATTTTTCTCTACAAATAAACTAATTAAATAACAGGAAAAAAATAAACTTGTGGTGGTTGAATAATGATACATACTGATGCCTCCCAGACTACATCTGTAATAAACTAAGTAGCTAGCCAGTCAGCTGCTTTCCTCTTTCCCAGCATTGGGAGCACATCAGAGTCAAGGGCTCTTGCATGCCCCTGAGGCTGGGAGCACTGGTCATTTGACTGCTACTCCCAGCCTTGGGGGTGCACTGAAGCCCTCGACTCCTATGCACCCGGGAGACTGGGAACAACAAGCAGCTGTTCACAGCCCCAAGGGCACATCAGAGACAAAGCCATGACCGCTGTGCCCTGGTGGCTAGGAGCAGCAGCAGATTTGGGGTTCCCAGTTTTGGAAACGTATCAGAGGTCTTGACTCCTATGCACCTCTGAAGTTGGGAGCAGCAGCCAGCTGATTGGGTGCTCCCAGCCTCCAGGGTGCATGGGAGTCAAGGGCTCCTATGTGCTCCCAAGGCTGGGAGCCCCAGTCAGCTAATGCCTGGTCACAAGTGCAATTTAAGGTGTGATGGGAACAAGCCCCAAAGTTCTTGCACATGTCACTAAATGTAATGTCTGCCAGGGGCCTATGAGCCCAGTCAGATGGCATTATGCATGCAGTTAGTAGGCCCTTCTAAGTAGACCAAACAGCTTCTGTGAGTAAAGGGTGACGTCCTAGGCCATTTCTTTGCAGAAATATCTCCCTACTCCTTATCTGATTGTGTATTTACTGTGTGGTGTGCTTAGCTTTTAGTAGTCTAATTTAAACTTTAGTAAGGTAAAATAAATTGATAGAAACAATAATTGTTGGTACTTTTAAATGTAATTTCCATGGCTAATGATCCAGAACTGCACCATATTGTATGTCCCATAATTATTTATAAGCTTGATTATAATTAAAAAGAACATTATAACATGTTGAGCAGATTCTAAAACATCTTGCTTGCATAATAGTTCATATGAGCAAAAACACCCATGTTGCTCATCTTTAAAATGTGACAAATTGAGTACTTTGGTTGTCTGATAGCCAAGTCTTTTCGTGGCTCATTTACAGCACATCTTGTAACTCTAATTACATTAAAAGTCATTGAAAAAAATTATCTTGCTGGATGTAATAAGCCTTCTATGAACAGTACAAAAAGCATTAAAATTGGACCAGATTTAAAATAAAAAAGTTTGATTTTTGGAGTTGGATTTAAATGTTAGTTTTGAATTGGAGAGAGAATTCAAAAGCAGTTTCAAACTTAACCAAGACACGATGAGTTTTTCATCAAAATGTCAGGTACTTGCAAATGTAGTTTGAAGGTGGTTCTTAGATTTTAACTTTTTCCCTTTTTGTTGTGGGTTCATCAAACTGGTATAATATGGTACTGCTTCCTTACTGTTTAT